CAAGTAAAAAACTTTGCATACATTGCGAAAAATTCTCTGTGCCAATACTTTGATCCGGCACTATAAATATTTATTAATTATAATTCCATTCAATAAAAGAACTACAATAATTTGAATTAATTAATTGCCTTTATTTTTAGCATTCAAAAACAGTAGATAAAGCAGTGTAGAAAAAACGCTTTTTTAACGTAAATTAATCGTTTACGAGACTCGTTTACAATTAAAAAACGGACGTAAAAATATTCGCATACGAATGCTTTTTCGATCCGTTTACGACTGTTCGTAGGCGATGCACAATTTAAAGCGAAAAAGTGCTCGAAAAAGAGTCGTAAACGGCTATCATAAACGATTTTTAATCCGGTTTTTCTTCGAGAAAATATCCAATTACGAGCTTGTTTACGATGATTTTGCTGGCTGGGTGGTGAATGCAATACATTTCTGCTACGTATGTATTTATGTATGTATGCATATCCTAAGTTGTTTAAATCTACAGAAGAATGATTAATATGTTTCTAGTTGTTCAAGTGGTAGCCATTTTGAACTTTCCAGGGCGTCATACAGCAGCCTATCGGCATCCAATGATTCCCGATTCAACTTATCTATATCTAATGTATACTTATGCTCAACTAACGCATAGTCATCATCCTCTGTGGCACTAGTTGCACTGTTTGCGGCAGCAGCAGCTGCTTGTTGCTGTTCATATTGAGCAGCTCGTTGGGCGCTCCATGCTTCTGCGTGTTGTGCCAAGGTTTGTGGGTTTGCATGTGACTGTGCCATGGATTGCTGATAGTAGGCACTGTTTGGATCTGTCATGGCTCCTGCACCACTTTGATCATAGTATCCTTGCCAAGAATTATAATTCTGCCAATATGTGCTTGTCGGGTCATAATATTGTGAATAGTCCGTGCTTACCGCTGCAGTAGTCGATGCACCAATACCAGTTCCGCCATATCCATAGTTACTGCTTGCACCTAATGCAATGCCCAATTCGTTCTTTGGTTTTGGTACAGCATTACAGATTTTAATGGGTTTGGTACCTAAACCAATGAAGCCATTCATATCATATAAAGCAGATTTTTGTTCATCCTCAATACCAAAACGGACAAAACCATAGCCTTTAGAAAAGCCTGAGCTATCTAAAATAACCTTGGCAGTTTTGATGGATGTATATTTTGTTGAAAACACCTTATACAGTTGATAATCATCAACATCGGAGCTTAAATCTCCTACCCAAACACTGAATTCTCGTTCATTTCCAGGCAATTTATATGAATTACTTGCGCTGTTTAATCGAAAACGAACAATCGGATTAGTTCCAGGTATTGGTTTGCCATTAAGTTTATGCATCGCATCCATTGCACTCTCGTCTGTAGCAAAGTTTACAAAGCAATAGCCGGCAGGTTCGCCAGTGTATTTATTCCTCATTAGGCGCACCGTTGTGGGTTCCTCGCCCATCTTCCGAAAAGCAGCGATTATAAAGTTTTCGGTCATATACGGCTCCAACTACAAAACAGAGATATAAGAATTGGGATTGATATTTTATCTACAATTTTTCTTTACTTACACTGCCCATCCATAATTGGCAGTGAACAGAAGACGACATTTTGGCCTTGGGTTTTTTATTAAATTATTATCTTTCAAAGCTCGCACAATTGTGATATTTATACTGTGGTAATATTGAGTAGAGGTGGCAAACTATCGATGGCACTATCGATGCTATCGATGGTTTTGGTTTTTTTCACTATCGATAGTTTTTCAAAACTATCGAGTATTTTCACTATCGAAACTCACGAACCAATTGGCCGGTGTTATGCAGAAATTTTGTTTGGCAAACTGCGTGCAAATGTTGTTGCAGCAAACTCGGAGAGAGCGAGTTTGGCGACTCTCACAGCAAACTAATTTTGTTTGGTCAAACTGCAACAAATTCGGTGTTGTCATATACAAAAATTTTAGATAATTGTTGTTATACACAAAAATTGCGGTGATACCGAAAGCCAGAGAACTAAATTTATGCTGTAGGAGCTTCAAAGATTAGGGCGCAGTTAATTGCCTATACGATATCATAAAAATATATTGGGAAAATTTTAGTAGACGGACGGCAAATTCTAGAAAAAGGGGGATGAGGGGGGTAGAATAGAACCCCTGATTTCAAAAATAGCCCCCTTTTTTCTAGCAACCCTATAGTTCTTATATAATTTATTGTTAAAGTTTTCATATAAACGATGAATAAGATAGCAAAATAAAATAAAACTTGGTGCTGCCAGACTGAAATTTTGAATAATAAGAGCGGATTTTTAATGCGGAATTTTCACTTAGTAGAATTCTCCTTTCTGTGTTACCAAAGAAGAGGGGCTCAACACCTTTGGCAGAGAACACCTTTCTGCGTAGGCGGCCTTCGGCCGCATTTGGGGATTATAACCCTCACTACGTAGAATTCTCCTTTCTGTGTTGCCAAAGAAGAGGGGCTGAACACCTTTTGCAGAGAACACCTTTCTGCGTAGGCGGCCTTCGGCCGCACTTAGGGATTATAACCCTCACTACGTAGAATTCTTTCTATTGTATTGTTTTGTACGGTATGGCAACACATCTTATGTGTCAGTTTGCAACATGAACCAAAAAGACAAAATCACGCGGGCAGGAGACTAGCCCGTTAGAATCGCATTTAGGAAAAAAGTTGAACGATTTTGACATTAGCCGTTTGTTTACATTTCTTCGTTGTTTACAATTTGGTGGTGGCTTTTTACTGCAATTTTCTTAATTTTCGCTTGTGACAACGTGTGTACACATAAGATAAAGGATAATTTAACACAACGGCATGATTTATAGAAGAATTTTCTTAATAAAAATGATTTTTCATGCGTTCAACAATTTCGCGGTTTTCTCTGTTCTCTTCGTTGTTTACTTCTTACAACAAAGATGGCGTCGAGATTTCGGCAGCTATAAAATAACTTTTTTCGTTCTTTCCTTCCCGCGTGATCTTGTGTCTTTCGTTCATGAGTTTGCAACCATGTGTTATTGTATCATGATTGTAAATATGGGTGCAATGTAATGTAATTACAAGTTATTAAAAGTTGGTTTAAAGTGATTTATGTACAAGATAAAATAAAATAAAGGTGTGTAAACTATTAGGTAGTGTTATGTGCATTTATATATATGAAAGCATGTGACAAATGCACTCTTTGATAAGGAAATCAAGTGGAACGTCTTAAGAAATTTTAACAACAAATAACTTATAAACAATTATATTATTTATATTTTTTAGTTATACATGTTTTAGAGGATACCTCCCTTAACATCCTAACCAAGTTTCAATTGTTTATTCCCACTGGTTTTCGTAAAACACGAGGTGTGGCTGACTACTAAATATTAATTGTGCGCGTTATGTACATTGAAATTTTCATGTCGTGATGGCAATTGTCATGAAAACCATAATGAACGTGCAACCCTGTGCCAAACTCGACATAACCACCTCCGAGCAGTGTTGATATTTTAAGTACAATTGTACTTTTTTCAGTACAATTAATTTTAAAAAGTACAAAAGTACAATTTGCCGATTTTAAGTACAATTTCAACATTAAAAATACTTTTTGTACCAAACGCTCAATTCTCTTCTAGCACCTTGATTCTTAATCCGTTTACATTTAAGTAAATGGATATACCTATATTTCATTTTTACTACAAAACGAAATTATGAATTGTAATTTTGAATGTAAACGTGATTGTGAACAGTAATATTATTGATGTGCGTTATGGTGGTTGCGATTTCTTATCACGGGTGGGTGAAATATCCCTCATCACTGTTTATTTTGAAAAAATCTTTGGAAATGCAATTTACCTAATGGCGATCCTGCAGAAATATAACGAGGGCTTATATTCAATACCCTCTATCTGCAAAAACTCAATTTTTCAGGAGAGCAAAAAACTGTTTTGGCAGCTGTTTTTAAAAGTGTTAATAATTTTAAGTACACACGCATGTCTTAAATATTCACGCAATATACTAAAACTAGTTTTTTACTTTTAATTCATTTAATTTTAGTTTAAAGATCAGATAGAGGTTATTGCAATTCGAATTATAACTATTTATATAGAAAAATTTGCTGATAGAGGGTTTTGCAGAATGAAAATGTCAGTTCTTTAGACGTAAATACTATGTTAAACGTAAGATTTTAATGCAGAAATCATAGGTGTGAAAATTCGTTCCCTTCTATTCCGATGTGCCCAGGTAACCACATAATTTTATATGTGTTTTTGTGTCAAAAGAGTATTTCACGTGATTTCGAAATTATATAAGAATCATTAGCACTGTTAAAAGAGGCTTCGCTGGCTGGTTTACTGTCCGTTCAGATGAGGAAATTTCCTTCGTTTATAGAGGCGAAACGTACAGCTGATTCGGCTGTAAATGCCGAGTAGTACGGGGTAAAAGCACTGAAGACAATTGTAACACCCAGCCCTTTTGTTACCACCATATCGGGAACCGTCTGTGAAAATAATCTCCCAGGTAATTTATGAGTATCAAACTGGGCAAATGCCCTTGCGGTAGATTTTTTACTTTAGTAAGCATCGGATGATGTCGAAATCTTTGATGTAGCTTAATATACGAAATAAAGGTGATTGCGTGCTACATCAGTTTTTTTGTTGAAAGCAGGATTCGACGTGAGAGATAGCTTTTATTGGCGAGGTGGGAAATGCACGGATGCTTTTTCTCCTCTGCTACATAGTAAGGTGTTTCTAGCAATTTAAGATGTTTTTTTGCGCAGTGTCCATAAATTACGAGCCCAAAGTCAACTTTTACATAATGACAGTTCTGCTTAAAAGTAGGTTTATTGTAAAAAATCATTCCAAATATTTTCAATGTATCAGTATAGGGGAGGGGTGTTAGACAAGGAGAGGGTTGGATGTATGTATTTATTTGTATTTTCTGCATATGTGAAAAAATTACTTTTTCAGCTTAAATCTGAGCTCCTGAAGATTTGGACCAATTGATTAGATCGTTTGGTATGTTAGAAAAAATAATTTTTACTTACGTCAAGTCCTTAGTCAAATCAATTAAAATCAAATAAATTACTACTTCTATTTAAACGTTTTTATTAATACTTAATTTTAGTTGCGCTAAAAAATATATAGTATTAATAATTCAATTCAATGGTAATTAATGGGCAGAAACGCATTGTTTTTCAACGTCTCTGGGGAAGACAATGACGTCGAAAATTGCTCCTCCCGTTTGGGACATCGTCCGTACTTTTTGATATAGGTCCCATGCACACATGTAGGCGCCTTGCAACGTCCTTCGGATATGCATCTGAAAAATACATGACTACGTTATAAGTTCCAGACTAAACTGGGAGAAAATATAAATTGGGATATTTTTGAACTAACTTCCGATCAATCATCGAGAAATGCTCCATGCCCCTCTTGAGCCAATCACAACCGGTGTTACCGGAAGAGCAGTCACATCGGCAGAAATCGTCCTCCTGCAAAATTTTTTCGTACAACTTGGGACAGTTACAGTTGAAAATGGTAGCTCTTCGGAGTGTCTCTCCACCGAACGATATACCGTAGAGTGGCAGATGATAATACTCCTCCGCCTGTTGCATAGATTTTTCTACACAGTGACATTCGGTGTGGTTATTAAATGTTAGACGTTCGACCGCGCCACGATTTTCGTTGATACTGCGAACCTGTAAATAAAGAGTAAAATTTATTAGAAATGCGTGAATGTGTACATATTACCCTCATCGGTTGGTGAAATCCGTAGTACATATATGTACATTAGGGCGGGTCGAAAATCTAATTTTTCTCAAATCCCTTGGTAATAGTGAGAATATATTGTATTATGAAGTCAACAACAAGCCTGCAAAATTGCAGTTCTTGTTAAAATTTCTGGGTTCAGCAAAAAGGTTTGGTGCATATTATTAAATAATGAATCCGTTAACGCAACAGATAAAGTCAAATATCATTTCTCGCAGCCCTTTAGCCTATCGTTAATCTCAAAGCTAACTTTTTTCAATAAAATTTTAATTGTGCTCTTAATAATTGCACTGGCCTATAGCCAAAAGGTGTAAACAACAGCATTAATATTACTGGCGCGCATTTAGGTCGCTGATTTCAAATATTCGAATCTATTCGCAAATTTAGGAACAATTTCGGTAGCTCTAATAGAAAAGCCATTATTTTCCATCACCGTGGAAAA